CAAAACTAATGAAATCTGCGCATTAGATCAGAGCATCCATGTGCCAAGTTTCATCAAATCCAATGAGTGGTCTTCAAATATCAGTGGACAGTCATGGAACAGTTTAAAATCAGTTAATTATCATGCAAATTAGGTATTTAATATTCATAGATTTTTACCAAAAACAAATCAAATCTGCGCATTAGTTCAGAGCATCCATGTGCCAAGTTTCATCAAAATCCAATGAGTGGTTCTTCATATATCAGTGGAACAGTCATGGAACAGCTAAAAATCAGCTAATTATCATGCAAATAAGGTAATTAATATTCATAGATTTTTACCAAAACCTAATCAACTCTGCGCATTATCCCAGAGCATCTATGTACCAAGTTTCACCAAAATCTGATTAGTGGTTCTTGAGATAACGGTGGAACAAAAAAAGTGACATACATACATACATACATACATACATACATACATACATACATTACATACATACATACATACAGACATACAGACAGGGTAACTGCAAAGACTCCCTTTTGTGCTTCGCACACGGGAGTCAATTAATTCAAAATTACTTGTACTTGAGATATTGATGGAATAGCTGAAAACTAATTATGTAAATCAGATAAGTGATATGAACAGAATTGAATGTAAAACTAATAAAGCCTGCGTAATGTAATATCTATGTACCAAGTTTCATTGAAATGTGATTAGAACAAAAAAACTATGAATTATTATTAGAGAATTAATATGAACAAATTTCAACCCAAAATTAATCGGGTCTGTCTATTGTTCTAGAGCATTTATGTACCAAATTTTATTCAAATGTGATGATCAGTAATTGAGATATCAGTGTTAATTAATTATTTTAATTAGGTGATTAATAAGCATAAATATTTACCAAAAACTAATTGGGTCTCTGCAAAGTCCTAGGTTCATTGAAATATGATGATGAATACTCTATAAAATCCAATTAGTGGTTCTTTATATATCAGTGGAACATTCATGGAAAACATTACCTAATTATGCGAATTAGGTAATTAATATGCACAAATATTTACCCCAAAACTAATCAGGTCTTTGCACAGTCTTTAAGTAATTATGTACCAAGTTTCATTGAAATGTGATGATCACTACTTGAAATATCAAAAGCTGAAAATTAATTAATTATGCAAATTAGGTAATTAATATGTACTGATATTACCCTAAAAACTATAAGGTCTGTGCAGTGTCATATGACATCTATGTACCAAGTTTCATTGAAATGTGATGATTACTACTTGAAATATCAAAAGCTAAAAAAAATTATTAATTATGCAAATAAGGTAATTAATATGTACTGATGTTACCCTAAAAACTATCAGGTCTGTGGAGTGTCATATGACATCTATGTACCAAGTTTTATTGAAATGTGATGATTACTACTTAAAATATCAAAAGCTGAAAATTAATTAATTATGCAAATTAGGTAATTAATATGTACTGATATTACACTAAAAACTATCAGGTCTGTGCAGTGTCCTATGACATCTATGTACCAAGTTTGATTGAAATGTGATGATTACTACTAGAAATATCAAAAGCTGAAAATTAATTAATTATGCAAATTAGGTAATTAATATGTACTGATATTACCCTAAAAACTATCAGGTCTGTGCAGTGTCCTATGATATCTATGTACCAAGTTTTATTGAAATGTGATTATTAGTATTTGAGATATCAGTGGAAAAGCCAAAAATTGATTAATCATTATGCAAATTAGGTAATTAATATTGCACAGATTTTTACCCAAAACTAATCAAATCTGCGCATTAGTTCAGAGCATCTATGTGCCAAGTTTCATCAAAATCCAATGAGTGGTTCTTTAGATATCAGTGGAACAATCATGGAACAGCTAAAAATCAGCTAATTATCATGCAAATTAGGTAATTAATATGCATGGATTTTTACCAAAACCTAATCAAATCTGCGCATTGGCCCAGAGCATCTATGTACCAAGTTTCATCAAAAATCAAT